GTCGGATAAACGACTAACATCCTCGAACGACTGCCGAAGGGTTTTATTTAGGTTCTCTTACGAGATGGATGGCGCCTCATCGCTACTGACGATTTCTTGCGACAATCACTGTGCAACTTATTGCTCACTCGATTCTTACGCGCATCTGATACTTCTTTCATTGTTCTCTTCTTGGGAACCTCCCCCACAATAGTAGGTGAGGGTATATAGTTCCTCCATTCCATTCCGTCCTTCCCTACTAAGGTAAAACCCTGAGTTCTAGAGCCTTGCTCCCGACGCACCTAATGTCTCTTATCTCCTATGACGACTGCTCTGCAGACTCCTTGGAGAGTCTTGTCTTAATATGTAAAATTTTTAAATACAATTTTCAAAATTTAAAGATTATGACAAGACTTGTAAAGGATTATGCAGTAAGGAGTCATCTGCTCCTTATCTCGTGGCAGGTCCACAGACCTGCCACCTAGTCGAATCATTTCTAGATCTGAATCTAGAACCCACCCTCCCGCCCTTACGCTAGTTAGTAGCCTCGTTAGCCTCGTATCTATTCCAGTGGTAGTTATTTTCGTCTCGTTATATCCTCATTATCTTTGTAATTTGCAATCTAGTGTGCTGTATGATTGAGATCTGAAATATGACGACTGCTCTGCAATGACGACTGCTCTGCAGACTCCTTGGAGAGTCTTGTCTTAATCAGCCGTATGTGCTCTCTTCCAAGCATACCTCTATCGTTAGGCTAGCTCGTTAGTCCGTTAGAGACTGCTAGGTCGAGCTGCAGCAATGGCGGACCACCCGGACGCCATTGAACAAAGTGGTGACTTCAACGATGAAGCCGATTGGCGGTCGCCACGTGATCTGTCCGCTGCTGTTACCGGACTGGATCTGCTGTTCTCCAACTTAGCGGCTGTAGATAACCATGGAAAGGCGCCTGCAGTCGCGCCGCCTCTCGATGTTCCATTTGAACCCATCGATGAGCCTCTGTGTCCCTCCCCTACTGCGCCCGTGTTGGAGCAAGACAGCTCCAACCCTTCATGTCAGAATGTCATTGTTCTCTAGCCTGCAGTGGGGTACTCTATAGCGAGTACAACCCCTTAGGGTTTCCTATATGTATCCTGCTGCTTTCTAGTGAACACTCTCTTCTTTTTCATTCTAAACTTCTCTACCTACTAATCTTTTCATGCTATCAGAGCAGGTCGATCCCCTTGGGTCGATCCTGTGGGTGGGCTCACCACCTCACTGCTTCCGCTGCTACTGCTACTCTCTGTGTCGCACGCCCCGTGGCGTGCGACGGATTTTTCATCCCGCCGCGCGCTCGGAGCGTGCGGCGGTTTTCTGCCCGCCGTGCGCCCCGAGGCGCGCGGCGGTTTTCTGCCCGCCGTGCGCCCCGAGGCGCGCGGCGGTTGTCTGCCCGCCGTGCGCCCCGAGGCGCGCGGCGGGTTTCTGCCCCGTCACTCCGCGCGTCGCTCCCGGGAGGCGCTGCGACGGGCGACGGGGACCCGCGCGTCGCCCCCCGTCGCCCGTCGTGGCCTGCGCGCGGCTCGTACAGCCTGCGCGCGGTCCGTACGGGCTACGCCAGGCCCGCGCGCGGCCCGTACGGGCTGCGCCAGGCCCGCGCGCGGCCCGTACGGGCTGCGCCAGGCCCGCGCGCGGCTCGGGCCGCCTGCGCGCGGTTCGGGCGGCTGTGCCAGGCCCGTGGGCGGCCCGTTCTTCGCTGCCCCTGCGCTGCCCGCTGTCCCCCGTGCTTCTGATGGCGCCCCACCCCTGCTGCTGCCCGTTCTCCTGAAATAGGGTTTGGGGGTGGGGGGTATGGGGGTGCAGCTTCTGTGTGCCGTCCCCTGCTCCTCCTCCTCCTCCGTCTCCCAGTGCTGCAGCTGCCGCTGAGGGGGGTGGACCTGTTGGAGCCGTCGGAGTGGTACTAAGGGGGGTGAAGGGGGAGTGGAGCTAGGGGTGAAGCAGGGGGTGTGTGTCAGGGGGAGTGGGACTGTTTGGGGAGGTTGAACTGAGGTTGCCGTCGTGTCGCCAGCAGCACCTGTAGTCCGGGGAGTTGCTCCGGTAGCCCAGTCGCAGCCAGCTGTGCCAGTCGCCCGTGGGTCCTTTGCTCGTCTGCCGCTACTTTTAGCCGCGGAGCCAGTTACTCCAGTAGTCCGGAGCGTTGTTCCGGTAGCCGCTGTGCCAGTGTGACTCCTGTTGCCCGTGTGTCTGCAGCTTCAGCCGTCGCCTCCTATCTCCTCTCCTCTCACTCTCGCCTCCTCCTCCTCACTTGCCCTCTGCGATAGCCTCTAGCTTTGCTCATAATTGTGAACTTTAAACTATTGCTTCTTGTACTTGTGCTCAGAACGTGTGGTGACATTGTGATCCACCCTGAGCTTGTTCTGCTTTGCTTGCTCTGCTGATTACACCCCACTTTGGCTATGGGGGTGTGTCAGAATGTCATTGTTCTCTAGCCTGCAGTGGGGTACTCTATAGCGAGTACAACCCCTTAGGGTTTCCTATATGTATCCTGCTGCTTTCTAGTGAACACTCTCTTCTTCTTCATTCTAAACTTCTCTACCTCCTAATCTTTTCACTTCAGTTGAAGAAACTGCGGCGGTACCAGTGGCTAAGAAGTCCGCCAGGTACACGCAGTCAACGCTGACGTGGGGCAAGAAGGGAGGCACCGCTGGAGCATCTCCGGCTTCGCCAGCCGACCAACGGTCGACGCCCGCGACTGCAGTGGAGCAGGCGTCGCCATCAACACCTGGGCCTTCAAAACCGGCAGGGCCAGACGCATCTTACGCGGAGGCTCTGTATAAGTACAAGAGCGAGTGGCTAGAGCGGTTTGATTGGCTAATTCTGCTTAAAAAAGCTGACGGTTACCCTGCTTTCAAGTGCAGCATCTGTACGGAGCACGCAGGCTACGCTGGACCGTGCGGGAGAGGCGGAAAGGGCGCCACAGACGTTCAGACGCAGGCGTTCAAACGGCATGCAGCAACAACCAAGCACAAGGAGGCGTTGAAACACCAGAAGCAGCTCCTCGCCGATGCAGCCACGCAGCCACGGATCAACGGCGACAATCTCGCTCGCGACACGGAGAAGGAGCGTGTCATCAAGCTCCTCGGCTCCCTGCTCTTCGTGACGAAGCAAGATGCACCCATAGAGTTATGGGTGAATCTTGTGCGCTACCTCGCGCGTCTTAAGGTGCCCAGGTTCCCCGCTAAAGGCTACGGCACCTATTATACGACGTGAGTGTTGTTTTGTCTTTACGTTCAACCGTGTTTGTGGTGATGAAATGAATTTCCTGACACCGTCTTGTTTGACATGCGCTGCAGATACGGCTTCGGGCAGCTGACCCAGTCGATGGCCACATGGTTGCACACAACGCAACTGCAGCACATCCTTAGCAGCCCATACCTTGGCATCACATGCGACGAAAGCACGGACAGGTGTCGCGGAAAGCACATGATTGTTTTCGCGACATTCATCCGTGACAATCATCCCGTCACTGAATTTCTTGCCCTGCTGACCGTGGAGAAGGGCGATGCAGCCTCTCTACTCTCAGTGCTTCTGTCCCACTTGCAGGCCCTTGGCATTGAGCTGGCGAGGATATCCGGCATAAGCACTGACGGAGCGAGTGTGATGATGGGGAAACACAACGGCCTGGTCGCGCGACTTCGCCTCAAAATCCCGCATCTCGTGTCGAGCCACTGCATCGCCCACAGGTCAGCTGTCGCCGTGCTGCCGCTGAGCACAGTGGAGTGTGAGCGCGGCTTCTCACGGCAGAACATTATCAAATCGTGGCAGCGGGGGAGCTTGAAGGACGCCCGCCTCGAAGACCTCGTCACTATGTCACTCCTCGAGTACGAGCCCAACTACGAGGAGGTGGTGCAGATCTGGCGCAGCTACAAGAAGCGCCGCCCATTCGGCAATGTGGCGGCACCACCAGCAAGAGAGGGGGAGGGCAGTGGTAGCAAGGGAAAGGAGGCCATAGAGGAGGAGGAGATGGAAGAACGACAGGTCAAGGGAAGAGATGATGATGATGACAAGCAGGCATCATCTGATGATGATTACTGATTTCTCCCATCCCAGTCATGCTTGATGCCTCCTTGCATAGCTTGCTAGCTAGCTAGCTAGCTAGATAGATAGGCTATGGTAACTGGTTTACAACACATATAGATAGATTGAAGGCTGATTGCGTGCTTCCTAGTGTTTTTAACTTAAAATAAAGACAATTACTACTATCAGCCTTTTCCTGTAGGGGACACTGATGCATCAGACTTTTTTTTTAAGTAACACTGAACTTTCAGGCTTTTTTTCAAGGCGACCCTGACGATCAGGGTCTAGGGGCAGAGGGACCCTGATACCCTTACGTGCCTAAAAGTGAATCTGAGGGCCTGGTGGTAAGCTACACGACTGTTGGGCAGGAAATGCATGAGTACAACCAAGGGTTGTTGAAGGGGTACAGGGTGCACAAAGAGGATGTACATGTTCGCTGACACCATTCTAGTAGATTGGGAGTTAATGTTCTGTTCAGTGTATCATCCTTTCAGTTGATAGGTATTACCGGTAAAGTAAAAAAAATCCAGTGAGGCCAAGAAAAAAGGTCTGGAGAGAGACTCGGAGGGCTGTAATCACTGTACTCATCTACTGTAGGTACCCAGTCATCCTGGCATCAATACCGGTATGAGTATAGGATCCTCTACTCACACCGTGTACCCTTGCTACCATACAATACAAGCTGACGGGTATGATCGATGACCGTATAGATTTGGCAACAATTGGTGTTTTGTGCATGCATCTTATGAACTCGTTTGTCTCCTGAAGGAATTCGCTGGTGTGGCATAGTGAAGGGGGCTGATACACTTCAGCATAGAATACATTGATTGCACCATTTGGGTGAACCACCTCTCCAAAGGAAGGCCCTTTTAGCAACACACAAATCCCAAGCCCATCTCCCTCCATTTTTCACTTCTACCTTGCTCCCTTCCCTTCTCCTTGCTCTATCACTTTCACCATCTACCTCCGACTCACTCCGCCTTGTTTCTCCCTTCACTCTCACCACCACCATTATTCACGTCAGCCCCACCCTCCACCTCTTCCCGTGCCCCTGCACCCACCCGTTTTCGCAACCCCTCACCCTCTCTCTCCGGCGCAACCCTCTCTGTTTGCGTGTTGGGCCTCAATGCTTCCTCCTCTCTCCTCCCTCTCTCCCCACCTTTCACTTCCTTCCCTTCCTTTCCTTCCCTCTCCCTCCGCCGTTTTGCCTCCAGAGCCGCCTTGTGTGGTTTCAGGTAGATTCGGTAGAATGCTGCTGCGAGGACGGCACCGGCAGTGGGAGCAGCCCAGTAGACTATGAAGTGCTGCACCGACATTTCTTGATCCAATGTGTACACCCACCCGAACGCCTGGAGGAGGGGAGTGCAGTGGCGAGTAGGGGGGTGAGGAGAGACAGAAACTCTAAAATGAGGAGGAAGGATGGGATGAGGGTGGGAGCAGCCCAGTAGACTGCAAAGTGCTGCACCGACATCTCTTGGTCCAATGTGTACACCCACCCAAACGCCTGGAGGAAGAAAGAGCAGTGACGAGTAAGGTGGTGAGGAAAGACAGAAATCCCGATATGGGGAGGAAGGATGAGATGGTGATTGTTGGAGCAGCCCAGTAGATTGCGAAGTGCTGCACCGACATCTCTTGGTCCAATGTGTACACCCACCCAAACGCCTGAAGAAGGGGAGTGGGAAACATGTGTGAGAGCAGCTTCTGCGAGCGTGCGAGAGCGAGCGTGTGAGAGTGAGTGTGCGAGAGTGAGTGTGTGAGAGTCAGAGCGCGAGAGTCAGAGTGTGAGAGTCAGAGTGTGAGAGAACGAGGTTAAGAGCGAGAGTGAGAGTGAGCATGCGAGAGCCAGTGTGAGCTAGTGAGTGAGTCAAGAGAGAGTGAGGGAGCTTACAAAGAGGGGGTTCATGGAGGGACCAGAGAAGCCCATGCCAGCAGCGATGGCTATGATTGTCGCGGAGACCATGATGAATGCCTTTGAGAGGTCGCTGCTGGGACCCAGGAACAGCGTCCACAGCACCACCAGGTTCAGCAGAAACGTCAGGGCGAACTCGGCCGTCGCGCCGGCCAATACGGACACGCCAGGTGGCAGCGCGGGCCCGTTGACGGTGTGCTTGAGGGACTCCGGAATGAACTCCCACGTCAGCATGGTGCCTATCACCATGCCGCCCGCCTGATGACGTGGATGGGAGAGGGAGGGGAAGGGGAGAGATGGGAAAAGGGGGGTGGGGGGGGGGGGGGGGGGAGGGGGGGGGGGGTAAGAAGGAATCTGAACAAGGAGGTTTGGATGGACGGGAAGAGGGTGGGATAGACACCCTGGGATGAACTCCCACGTCAGCATGGTGCCTATCACCATGCCGCCCGCCTGATGACGTGGATGGGAGAGGGAGGGGAAGGGGAGAGATGGGAAAAGGGGGGTGGGGGGGGGGGGGGGGGGAGGGGGGGGGGGTAAGAAGGAATCTGAACAAGGAGGTTTGGATGGACGGGAAGAGGGTGGGATAGACACCCTGGGATGAACTCCCACGTCAGCATGGTGCCTATCACAATGCCGCCTGCCTGGTGACGTGGATGAGTGGGAGGGGAGGGAAGTGAGAGGGGAAGGCAAGGGGACAGGTGATGGGGTCGGATGGACCTTGAGGGATCGATGGGCTTGAGAATGAAGTTCCACGCCAGCAAGGTGACTTTTGAGAATTCTCTAAAACCACCTGCAACAACGAAGTTCCATGTCAGCAAGGTGTACCCGCATGCATGCTAGCCCTCTGTCCCCTGCTGCCAGTCATCTGTGTGCTGTCAGCACCTGAGCGGGGAAGCGCAGCAGCAAGCCGAGCGCCGTCTCGTCCGCCTCATCTGCGAGGTAATTGAGTTTCTCGTGTGCAGCATCGCACTGCCAGACGCGCCTGACACAGGAGCGAGAAAGCAGCAGCGCACCTGAGCGGGGAAGCGCAGCAGCAGCCCCAGCGCCGTCTCGTCCGCCTCGTCAGCAAGGTTGAAGAGCTCGTGTGCAGCATCAAACTGCGAAAAGCGCCTGACACAGGTGCGAGAAAGCAGCAGCTCACCTGAGCAGGGAAGCGCAGCAGCAGCCCCAGCGCCGTCTCGTCCGCCTCGTCAGCGAGGTAGTTGATGAGATTCGCCAGCGGGTTGAACGACGCCCCCCCCAGCGCCGCCGCCGCTCCTCCGAACCCCACGATCTGAACAATGGCGATCGCCTGGTGCAGGAAGGTAGATGCACGAGAGGGAGCAGCACAGGGCAGGATTGAACGCATTGTGGGAGAGAGATTGACCTTCCAAGAGCGTTACACAGTGAAAGAGCTTCGCCTGAGAGCCTGACATAGTGAAAGCGTTAGCTGCATTCCTACATTGTTACATTGCTACAGTTGCCTACCAAGAGGAGAGCGACGGAGGTTTCATCGTCCGCAGCAACGTAGGGAGCGAGGACTGCCACCGTGGCGCCCGTACACGACACCCCTATCGCCCACACGATTCTGATCATGGGGGAATCAGCACAAATGGCTTGAATTAGAGCGAAAAAAAAACACCGTGGATGATGCCAGGGAAATCTAGAAAACATATAATTATATGCCCTGTTTCAACTAGACGAGACGAGTAATAACATGTCGTCGGAATCATCACTTCAGAGCTGCTATTGCAAGAACATTTATTGTCATTTTCTTTTCGTATCTTTCTAGATACGTTCTTTCTCGACTCTTCTTTCCGTACGTGAAAAGGAAGTCAGTGACAGCTAGCCGAACCACCTTTCCTGACGACATTGAATCCGCCATCCCAATACCGCGATTCCGCCGGGTTAGCGAAAGGACTTCAGGGCTTAATTAGAGGTACTGAGAGCGAGCTCCATAGAACGAGTCTAGATCACTAGAGACTAGTGATGGGTCATCAAGAATTATGGTACTATCTGTTCCAGTTCCCAGTTCGTGCACGGTACCATCTGTTCCAATAATTTGAATAGCGGTGAAGAGTGGTGAATGGGCTGAGCGAACTTAGGGTCGAATCACCAGCAGGATCCACCACTCCCGCCCTACTTCATCGGCGGAAGGGGTTGTTCAGACATGAGTTCAGGTCAGAGGGAACGTGCGTCAGCAAATTCTGGGCGCACACGCATGGATTTCTTCGGTGTGCTTACTACAGAATCATGCTTTCCCTTGAACCGAGGTTGCCAGATCACGCTTTCCCATGAACCCTCTCCAGTGCATGTGGGTATGCCTCGGTACTGTACTGGCTTTTTGAAACAACTTCGTGTAGAGCATCGCTAGTAAGGGCGGGTCCCCCGCGTTCGTCTCGGAAAAATGACACAGATTTTCGAAATTTGCACAGATCATTGAACTCGTTTCAGAAACGTGCAGGAAATTGAATCTGGTCATTGGTTTTGAAGGGGGGACACGACTTCCCCTCCTCTTACAATTCTGTGTACTGTTCTGCGACTCTCACAATTTGTCTCTAGCTCCTACAATTTCGTCACTGGTAACAGAGGTATCATTAAGCGCCAATATTGGGCGCCCAATGCCTTCACGACTCGACACATCTGACTTTCGCTAGATTCAAGATTTCGCCCACTGTAGTTTTTCACTGTTGGGAGAGGCAGCTGTTGAGAGTTCGCTACATTTTGAAATCTGCACGGATTTGGTTCGTGGGGGGAATGTTCATTACAGCGTCCTCGCAGTTTGGCACATTTGTGTATGGAGACACGTTTTAAATATAGTTAGCTGGTTACCCTACTAAATTCGTTCTGGGTTGCATAAATTGGCTGACCTGATATGAAAATGACGCGCCCTAAACACGGAAACCTGACTCAACCGCACAGAACTAGCAAAGCCGTAACCTGATGCCGAACCAACCAGCCAGAGTTTTTTCCACTGTCGCTTCCGGCAATCAAGTGTGCGTGGACATGTGGGAGTTTCAAGCACACCAAGGGAAATGTTACAGGCAGTAGACGGACGTTGCGGGTGTGCGGTCGTGTTACCTCCAGGTCACGAAATCTTCTCACACCAAGCCGAACTGTCACGAACGAATCACAGACTTTTTCCATAGCTCAAGCTCGTTCGGAGAACAACCGTGCCTGTTCCCGCCAAAACGAACGTGCCAGGCTGGTGTCAGGGCTCAGGCACAACGGGACCACGAGGCATCGTATGACCGTTGCCACATGCGAATGGCGGGATGTTTGAGCCCACCAATCAGGTTCGGATGAAGCTCCCAAAAGAAACGTGAGGGCCCTAGCTGGGCAGGCCTTCCCCCCCCCAGCTGCCTGCCTGCCTACCTGTTCAGCCCCAGACAGACCTGAATGCAACATTCAAGATTCAAGCTGAAGGTCAAGTGCTTGAAAACGAAAGCTCGTCCGAGACTAGTTTCTCAGTTTCAAGAAATTAGTTTCTTGTGAAAGAGGCAAGAGGAATAGCAGAGAGGCCGACCGACCAGATAACATTAGTAAGACAAAATCGAGGTAGTCCCGAAGGCTGTCGCTAACTGAGACACGTAGTGGTGTCAGGTAGTTAGGTATGTGTCTTTGAGCGGTCTAGCAATAGTTTACGCCAAGAAAAGTTGTTTGATTTCTTTTCATTTAAAGCCCAGCCGCCATGGCGGTAGAGCTGGATGCCGACGCGGTGCGGAACGCCAAGGTTAAGATGATATTTCACAAGTTTGACCATAACAAAGACGGCGGACTAGACCGCTCGGAAATGGCTGGTCTCGTCATCGCTGTCAACCCCAAGGTGAAGTTTAAGGATGAGCAGATTGAAGCTATTCTGGACGAGGTATTTAAGACGTACGGGGAATATATTACCGAAGGCGTCGGTTTGTCTTTCGAAGGGCTTCAGCAGACATATGACGACGGAGCTGGTGACGTGGACAGGGATTTCGAGGCTCTTAATCTTGTCCTGGACATGCCCACTCCGGCTCCTCTCCCTGCAATTCCCGCTGTTCCCGAGCCTCCTGCTGAGGTTCCTGCCGAACCTGAACCTCCCGCTCCGATGGAGGAAGACAAGGGAGGATTTAACTACTTGTCCACAAAGCACATGGTGGAAGCCCTCGAGGCACTCATCCAGCAGCAGCCACGCGCACAGGACAACCCAAACAATGTTCTCAGCAGCCCTGCGTTCACAAAAGCCGTCGCCGACCTTCGCTCGCAGTCGGAGAGCCTGTTACCCGTCGCAGCCGTCGTGGAGGCGAACATGGCGATGGGTCGCGCGCTGATGAAGGTCGGTCGCACGGAGGAGGCGAAGCCGTCGTTTTTGCGTGTCGTGGAGGTTGAGCCGCAGAACGTTCGCGCGTACTTTCTTCTGGGAAATGCGTACTACAGCATGGGACAGCTGGCGCAGGCGCGGGAGGCGTACAGCCAGAGCCTCGAGGCGGGGAAAGCGGACCCCGAGGCGCACGCGACAATCCTTCCTCAGGTATGTTGTGATATTTGTGACTGTAACGAAAGTAATGTTTATTTGCTTGTGAGTGTATTTTCTTGCGGCATATGCCGACATTCATTCTGAAGAATCGTGCCATTTCATTATGCTTGTCCCGGACACAAATGCACGCAAATTTCAGAGTGGCGATGTAGGCAGAAGCCTTTTCACTGCACATGTGCCTCCGCAACCATGAGGCATTCATTTTTTGCCCCAAAATGTATGTTCACCCCTGCCGCTTCCCTCATCCTCGATACAGGTGCACGTGAATCTGGGTATAGCGATGGAGGCGGAGGGTCTGCTGATGAACGCGTGCGACCACTACCGCGAGGCGGGCATGCTGAACCCGCACCACCACCACGCCATGAAGCTGCTCGGCAGCGCACTCTACGGGCTCGGCGAGTACCGCGAGGCGGAGGAGGCGCTGCAGAATGCGCTGTATCTGGACCCAAAGTGAGTGCTGTTGCCTGGACTTTGAGTGAGTGCTAGCGAGTGACCTTTACATGCAAGCGAGCGTTACAACTACATGGCATGTTAGGGATGGGCATGCAGGAGCTACTGAACGCGATTAACCCTGGATTTGAGAAGCGTAGGTGCCAGGTGGTCGTGTAACCTAAGTGCGCAGCACTTTGTAATGCGGGACCTGAATAAAAAACCACACTATTCTTAACTTGATGTGCTCATCTTCACTCCTTTCTCATCTTATGCCTACCCCGTCACTGCCCCCCCATCTTTCTCTACTTCCCCGTTCCCGCGTACCAGGTACGCCGACGCACACTGCGACCTGGGATCGACGCTGCACGCGCTGGGCGACGACGTGCGCGCGGGGCAGGCGTTCGAGCGCGCGCTGAGTCTTGCGCCGGACCATGTCGACGCGCTCTACAACTACGCGGGGTTGCTGCGCGACACGGGCCAGTTCGACGCCGCTGTCGACACCTACTCCAAGGTGCTCGCGCTCAGCCCGGGGCACTGGCAGGCGCAGCTAAACCGCGCCGTGTCGCTGCTGGGCGGCGGAAAGGGGGAGGCGGCGCAGCGGGAGCTGGAGGCGGCGTATAGGTTGACGAACCGGGTTGAACTATACGATGCGGTGAAGCAGCTGAAGCGGCTGTACAAGGAGAATAAGAAGATGAGTTCGGCTCTGGCGAAGCTGCCGGATCGGGGCGGGGAGGGTGCGCAAGGGGGCGCGGTGGAGGGGAGTTTCGTGGTGCTGGATCCGGCGAGAATGAAGGGCAGCGGCCCCACGGTGTGCAATCCGACCGAGCTGGCTGTGGCCCTTGACGTCCGCGCCTACCAGGTGAGAATTGAGACGTTAGTGGCACTCCTTAGTTTCCAGAAACCAGCACCAGCACTGCTCTCGTGAACTTGCAGAGTCCAACTCCCCCGTCCCTCCTCCTTACCTCCCCGCCCCCTCCGCGCGCCCATGCCCCTCAGCGCCACACGCGCCTCTCAAAGGTGCCGGTGGCAGCGCTGCGCGCCGAGCTCTCAGAGGCCAACTTTGAGGCGGCCCCGCGCGAGCGCATGGTGCGAAAGGCAGCGATTGAGCTGCTGCTGCGCCAGATGCTCCCAGAAGCGCTCCCCCCAGAGACCTTCCAGCAGGCCGTGCGCGCCCTTAACGAAAAGGTGATCTCGGCCGTCGAAACCGGCGGCGGCGCGGCCGCGGCAGCCGTTGATCTGGGGCTGTTTCTGGCGATCGTGGCGCTGCTGTGCGACGGGGCGGTGCCGGAGAGGAAGCTGGTGGCGTTTGAGGCGCTGCAGTGGCGGCGGGGGCGGCCGGAGGGCACCGCGGGGAAGATCATGCGGCGCGACGCGGTGGGGTTTGTGCAGCTGGTGCGCGAGATCTACCTGCCGGGGCAGCCGCCCATGCCCGACGAGGACAAGGGCGGCGAGGAGGGCGTGCCGGACGTGGGGCTGGAGCAGTTTGAGACGCTCGTGGATGACGTGAGTTGATGGTTGAAGGTGTTTGTGTGTGTGGGCATTTGCTTGTTTTATCTGTGCATAAGTCCTCAGGGTGAATGGACTGGCCTACTTCCTTTTTTTTCTCTCTCTCTTGTTCATGCTTCCCACCTGAACTCTTCCCAACCCCTTCCTCCCTCCTCTCCCCCTTCCGCCCGCTACAGTATTTCCCCATTCTCTACACCCTGCGCAAGCTGGAGGTGTACGATCGTACCCGGCACCTGGGCATGTCGTGCGACGTGTGCCGGTACGCCATAGTCGGGCTGCGCTACCGCGAGACCAAGTCGCGCTTCGACCTCTGTGCCACGTGCTACAGCGAGAGGAAAGCCCCTTCCAAGCACGCTGGCCCCTCTCTCCTGTCGTCACGTAACCGCGTGTTCACTTTTGCCGAGTACGTGACCGGAACGGATAAGGTGAGGGAGAAGTTTGGGCTGTATGGACGGACGCTCGTCAAGACGCCGACGACGAGAGGAGGGGCCACGGCAGGAGGCATGGCAGGAGGAGCGGGAGGAGGAACAGAACCGGGTGGTGGTGCTGGGGTGAGTGGGGCCGGTCAAGCTGAGGGGTCACCAGATGTAGAGGCTTGAGTGATTGGTTGATAGATATGAGCTGTATGGGGGGGGAGCAATTGGAACAAAGCGGTGGATGGAATGGAAGACAGGGGGAGCAGAGGTCGCAGCAGCGAGGACAATTTCGGAAGCAGGTGGTTCTGCTGGGTCAAGCTGAGGGGTCACCAGATGTGGAGGCTTGAGTGATTGGTTGATAGATATTGCTGGAGCTGTACGGGGAGGAGCAATTGGAACAAGCGGTGGATGGAACGGAAGAGAGGGGGAGCAGAGGTCGCAGCAGCGAGGACAATTACGGTTGGTTGAAAGTAGGAAGTTGGCACAGAATGGAAGTGCAAATTCAGATGGTTGTGGTAGATACGTGGTAGGTCCTGTATGTGTGACTGCTGGTCTATGCAGCTGCAGAGTGACTAGGAGATTTGAACAAGCTTTAGTACATGAGGTCATAGAGGCGACATGTTAGGAATAGAAAGCGCAATTTTTCTGACTTGATGTGGTTCATTACATGAGTTGCTGAATAACAACTTGATCAACTCTATTGCAATGGTGCCTGGTGTTCTGGTAGTCAAGCTGGGCAATATATCCGCTCTTCATGCCAACGCAGCAGATCTTCCATGGATCCCATTCTGTCGAGGAGTCAAGTTCGTCAACGCCAACAAGGCAGATCTCTCATTGTTCGGTGCGGTTCGGTCGGAATGCAGTGAAGCTCGAGAATCACTGATTACCGCATCGAAAGTTACGAAACCGCATAGTACGCCCAGTGGACAAACATGTGCTGGTGGCTGAGTGGGTAGGCTGGGCTGGGACTCCGTCTGCTCTACTCCCATTCACTTTCATCCTTCCAGCACATTTTACGGATTGTGATCTTTTCTATGCTAGTACCAGTAAGCTAACTAACCCAGTTTCGGCATAGTCCAGCCAGCACTTTCGACCCTCTTTCTACAGCAAAGCGATACGCTATAATATATTTTACAGTCAAAAAGCTTATCGAGGTCGTTTCTTGACGATCGTCAAAGCCGCAAACCGTTCGCGCTTCCCCGCTGCGCGGCGCGTGTCAAGGGTCCGACTCATCATCGCAGCCTCGTCAAATCCAGCGGCTCGTCATCATGGGTCTGCGACGCCGCACTTCCGCGCACTCGTGGGCGCCGCCACTCGCGACGGACGCGCTGACGCTGCTGTCGCTACTGCTGCTGCTTATGCAAGCAAGGCTGATGCCTGGCTGTGAGGCGCAAGGCGATTATGACTATCCCCCCGAACTCGTCCCCATCCCTGGGTTCGGCACCCCCCAGAAAATCGCCATGGCTGAGAGTAAGCAGGATTTTCTTGTAGCCATTTGGGTCACGTGGTCCCAAAGCTGACTTGAATATCAAAAGTTTTTGAACAATCTTCTCGATGCTATCATCCAATATTCGCCGAGTAAGTTTGAGTCGACTCATTACCTTTTTCAACCACCCCACACAATCATGGTGCAGAGGCAGCACTGCTGGCGTTCGCAGCGGCCTTCGGGAACCATCCAATATTCTTAAAGTACGGCGGCTGGGCCAACGTGTCCTTGGGAATGACGTACGAGACAAGCAAGCCGTGCGTGCAGTTCTGGAAGCTCATTACTTGCGACGAGGAAGGCCGAATCAATGCTATGTGAGTGAGTGTTTTGAGACCTCTCAAAGCTGGGCCAATGTGTCGCTGGGTTTGAATGACATACGAGACCACCAAGCCGTGCGTGTAGTTTCGGAAGCTCATTACTTGGCGAAACATCAGTGCATCGCCTTTCTCCCTTCCATGCACCCACATGCATCGCCTTTCTCCCTTCCATGCTCTCATATGCACATACTCGCAGCTACGTAGACAACGCATATATGGTGGCCAAAGACCCAGCCTTTGCCCGCGGCCGCAAGCCTGGTCCCCTGCGAGGCATAATCCCGTGGGGCAAGATGCGAGCTCTCTCCAACCTCATTCTCGTGAGCGTGGCAGGGAATGAAGTGTTCGGGCCCGTGCTGCCGCCCACCATCTTTCGATTTCCCAAGCTCAAGGAAATGTGAGTCTGCATGAATGTGAACATGGTTTATCTCGTGTTCCAGTATTCACATGTTTCCGTGTTTCCATTTTCGCATGTTGTAGTGTCAAGACTCCACGTTCGTCCCATGTAACATCTCCCCATGATCCCATGTTCCCATGCCCGCATGCTCCCATGCTCCTATGTTTAGAACCGAAGTACAAGGCATGCCTCTCTTCTGTGTATGCTGATGAATGATGTGATGTGATGTGATGTGATGTGATGTGATGTGATGTGATGTGATGTGATGTGATGTGATGTGATGTGATGGGATGGGATGGGATGGGATGGGATGGGATGCGATGCGATGCGATGCGATGCGATGCGATGCGATTCGATGCGATGCGATGCGATGCTATGTGATGTGATGCTATGTGATGTGATGTGGTATGGCAATCGCTGCTGGTTATGTGCCATGTGCTGCATGTGCGCATGCTCGCAGCAACTTCATGGACAACAAGATGGTCGGACCCATCCCCAACACGCTCTCCGCTTTGAAGTCCCTCCAAAAGCTGTACGTTGCTGGTCCAACACGCTTACATGTTTCGGCTTCGCACCGATATCATACCCACAAGGCCTTCATCAGTGCAAGAGTTGAACAACAGGATGGTAATGGTTGGACCCATCCCCAACACGCTCTCCACTCTGAAATCCCTCCAGAAGCTGTATGCCTATCCGCTGCTGCTCTCCCCATCCCGCATTTCCATCCCTTCCCTTTCGCTACTGTGGTAGTTGCCTGGACAACCCCAACACGCTCTCCACTTTGAAATCACTCCGGGAGCTGTATTCCATTCCTTTCAGCCGTATCCGAACGAAATTCCTCCCTCCCCTCTCACCCTTCCCACACTGCCGCTCGCTCCCCCGCAGCAACGTGAGCACGAGACGCATCATGGGGTGCGCCCCACCTGGCATCACCACCCTCCCTCTTTTGAGGCGCCTCAAAAGTCACCTGGCATCACCACCCTCCCTCACCAGAGAAAATCCTTCCCACCCGTGAAGGCTTCTGAGTCGACTAGTAAAACATGAGCATGAGTCGCATCATGGGGTGACTTTTGAGTCGACTCAAAAGTCGCATCATGGGGTGCGCGTGCGCCCCACCTGGCATCACCACCCTCGCTCACCAGAGAGAATCCTACCCACCCGTGCGCGGAGAGACGGGAGCAGGAACCGCATCACAGGGCCTGCCCCCACCTGACTCCACCCCACCACACCACACCACACCACACCACACCACACTCCACCACACCACCCTCACCAACCTGACTTCTCAGGCGCCTTTCTTCCTCCCCACACCACCCCAACACCCCCCGCCTTTCTTCTCACACCGCCCCTCCCCCACAGTGACGTGAGCATGAATCGCATCACGGGAGCCATCCCACACGTGCCATTTCCACCCTCAGCAATTTGCCAATGCCACCCCCAACGATGCCTCCCCACCCCCTCCACCCCTCCCCCACAGTGATGTGAGCATGAATCGCATCACGGGGCCCCTCCCACGTGGCATCGCCACCCTCAGCAACCTCACATCGCTCGCTGTCTCCTACAACCAGATGACTGGCGCGCTGCTGCCAGGGCTAGGCAACCTGCGACAGCTGAGAACACTGTGAGTGAGGCGTGAGTCTGAATCAGATCCCGAGGCCCATCCCACCTGGCGTTGCCACCCTCACCGCCCTGACATGGCTCGCTGTCTCCTACAACCAGATGACTGGCGCGCTGCTGCCAGGGCTTGGCAATCTGCGACAGCTGAGAACACTGTGAGGCTCTCTGCTGCTGGTGTTATGCTATGAGTGTGACTGCATTGAGTTTAAGCTGTGTTTCAAGCGCCTCACAACCAGATGACTGGCGCGCTGCTGCCAGGGCTTGGCAACCTGAGACAGCTGAGAACACTGTGAGTGAGACACCTTGCTTCTGGTGTGTTCGTGAGTCTGAATCGCATCACGGGGCCATCCCACGTGGCATGTCCACACTCAGCAGCGCCCTGACATGGCTCGCTGTCTCCCTACAACCAGATGTCCGGAGCGCTGCTGCCAGGGCTAGGCAATCTGCGACAGCTGAGAACACTGTGAGTCTCCTTGGTGTTGGTGTGACAGCTTTACAGAGCCCATCCCACACGGCATAGCCACACTCGCCACCCTCACCGCCCTGACATGGCTCGCTGTCTCCCTACAACCAGATGTCCGGAGCGCTGCTGCCTGAGCTGAGCTTGGCAAAATGAGGCAACTGAGGATACTGCGAGGCTCTTAGGTGCTGGTGTGACTGCTGCTATTGCTTCGAGCGTGACTGTCACTGCTTCGAGTGTAGGGAAGCTTCAGTCAGGACCCGTTCTGCCCCCTACACAAGTCCTCCTCACTTTTCGCCTTTCTTTCTCCCTCCCCTCTACCTCCCCTCTACCTCCCCCCCTGTTGTGCCCGCTTTTCCCCGTGCCTCTCCCCATCCTTGTCGTGGTTACCCACTAGCCTCCCCCTGCCTTGGGTGGCCTGGGAGCAGGGACTTAGGGGGAAACGGGTTTCAGGGGCCCATGCCTGCAAGCTTTGGTGATATCGAGGCGCCTCAAATGCTCCCTTTGCCGCCCCCCCATGCCATGCCCTTTGGTGCTGTGGAGCAGGGACCTGGGGGGAAACAAGTTTCAGGGGCCCATGCCTGCAAGCTGGGGTAATCTCAAGAAGCTCAAGACGCTGTGAGTGTAAACTGCAGAAACTCCCCCAAGCCTGATAAGCCCAAGTGCTCCTTGTGTCGCCTTGCTGGTGTCACTGCCGCCTTGCTGATGTCACTGCCGCCTTGCTGATGTCACTGCCGCGTTGCTGATGTCACTGTCGCCTTGCTGATGTCACTGCCGCCTTGCTGATGTCACTGCCGCCTTGCTAAGATGCCACTGCCACTGCCACCACCATGCATATGGTATGGTATGGTATGGTATGGTATGGTATGGTATGGTATGGTATGGTATGGGCGGCAGCACAGGGTAAAAGCAGAGTCCAGTGAGCATGGTGTCTCTTGAGCCAGTGAGGCTACTGCCTGCAAGCCAGTCTCCTGCTTGTCTCAGACCCTCCCCGTTTTTTAGTCGATGCAAAAACTGCCAGCCAGTCTCATCATGCGTGTCCCAGACCCTCCCCGTACCCGCTTTCCTTCCACTCCTCCCCTTTTCCATCTTTCCACATTCTTCCCTTTTCCCCCACCCCTACGTTCCCCTCCCTCCACTGCGTTCCCCTCCCTCCCCCCTTCGTTACAGCAATCTGCAGAAGCTGCATCTGGGAGGAGCAGTGCCGGCTGCATTTTCGGGCATGGTGTCTCGGAACTCAGTGAGACTGCACTGCTGCCAGGCTCATGCTCGCACCAACCCCTCCGCGTCCCCCCTTTACCTTCCCCCTCTCAATCCCCCGCTCCCTCGCCAGCAATCTGCAGAAGCTGAATCTGGGGGGTGCAGTGCCGGCGGCATGGGCAGGCATGGTGTCTTTGAAGCACTTCATCGCATCATCTGCTCGCATGCGCGGCCGCTTCCCAACTGTGTTGCTCAAGCTGCCACGCATTTCAGACATGTGAGAAGGGAGGATTGTGTGTGGCTGTGTGTGTGGGACTGTGTGTGGGGTGGGGCCGTGCATGGGCGGGGATGGTATCAAAAACTCCACACCACACGATTCAGTCCACATAACTTCTGAGGCGCCTCAGAGACCCTGCCTCCTGCTACCTCGCTGTTCACATCCACGGAATACGATTCAGTCCACATGACCCATCCATCCCCCCATCTCACCCCCCTCATCTTCTCCCCCCCCCTCCCCTAATCAGCATTCTCTACAACAGCTTCTTGTGAGGCCCACTACTGCCTGCTTTCCAGCTCTTCATGCTTTCGCCCCCATCTTCCCCTCAACTCCCCGTCTACTCCCCCTTCTCCCCTCATCGACGAATGGTCCTTCATTAAATAAGCAAGATAGTACAGCACATTCGTAATACAGCCAAACAAACAAGGCAAGGTCAAACTAAGGCAGCTCGAGCTCGGGCTCGGGCTCGAGCACGTGCATGAGATCTCCCGTGCTTAGGGGCTCCCCCTGGAAGGCCGTGGGGGCTGACCCAGCCGTAAACGCCGTCAAGGTCTTGGCAGCTAGCGCGGATGCTTGCGCGCGTTGGAGCGTGATTGAGAAACGCTGCCGGTAAGAGTGATAGATTTTCGCAGCCTCCCTAGAGGAAGGCTCGGCGTTGTGGAGGCGCTTAGCGGCGAGGTTTGCGCACAGGCGGAGGTACTCCAGGGGAGCAGTACCCATACGTCTCAACGGCCATAGCCAGGAAGCCGACCCACGCTGCTCGGTTGCGGTATTTGTGTTCTTTGCCCCGGGCCGCAATGGCGGCAGCGGTGCCGAGCGCTCTTCTAGCCAGAGGGTCCTGGCGGGAGATGGGGTCAGTGACGGTGATATCGCACAGCCAGACCGCCGACGTGTCCGGGTGGCGAATGGCGATGTCCGCCTTCAGTCCCTCGATTGGTGTGTACACCGTCGTCTCCACCAGCACGGCGAACCCTGCCTCGGCTGCGATGCTCGCGCATTCGTCGCGGAGGGCATTGTGGGTGCCAGCATTCTCTACAACAACCCCTTCTTGTGGGGCCCACTACCGCCTGCTGCCCAGCTCTTCCCCCTACCCCCTTCCCTCCCATATCTTCCCCAATTCTCCCCAACCCCCCCTTCCCACCATCAGCATTCTCTACAACAACTTCCTGTGGGGGCCACTACCCCCTGCTTCCCATCCCACCTCTTCACGCTTTCCCCCCCATCTTCCCTCCCCCCATCTCCCCCCTCATCTTCTCCCCCCTTCCCACCACCAGCATTCTCTACAACAACCTCCTGTGGGGCCCACTACCGCCTGCTGCCTAGCTCTTCACGCTTCCCCTCACATCTTCCCTCCCCCCACCTCCCCCCCATCTCTCCCCCCTCATCTTCTCCCCCCTTCCCACCACCAGCATTCTCTACAACAACCTCCTGTGGGGCCCACTACCCCCTGCTGCCCAGCTCTTTTCTCCCAAGGCACTCACGCACCTGTGAGCCTGCATCAGTCTGCCGAGGTTCGCTTTACTCGCTAGTTTTGAGGCGCCTCCAAACTCCCAATCTCTTGGGCAAAGAGCTGGGCAGCCGAGGTTCGCTTTACTCAATTTCCTGTGGGGTCCAGTCCACTGCCCCCCCCTGCTGCCCAGCTCTTTGAGGTGACTTCTGAGTCGACTCTTGAGTCGAGGTGACTTTTGAGTCGACTCAAATGTTCGCTTTACTCAATTTCCTGTGGGGTCCAGTCCACTGCCCCCCCCTGCTGCCCAGCTCTTTGCTCCCAACGCACTCACCCACCTGTGAGTCTGCCCTGCCTACCTGCCACTCTGTGTCGTGTGTTGAACCGTCTATATTCTTCTGAAGCGTCTCAGAAATCTTCACTCGGCTCCGTCCGAGCCTGCCTGTCTGCCACAGTGTCCCAGGCCAGCCATGTGCCAATGCACCGATGTGACTCAGTCACTCGGATCGGATCGGATCCCGCGTGTAATGAGGTTATTTTTGAGACGTCTCAAAAATAACCTCATTACACGTGGCTTCACGCGGCTCCGTCCGAGCCTGCCTGTCTGCCACAGTGTCCCAGGCCAGCCATGTGCCAATGCACCGATGTGACTCAGTCACTCGGATCGGATCCCGCATCCTCGCTTCCTGGGCGCTACTCGAGTGTGTCAATGTCAACCCCTGACTGAGCTGCGTGGTTCTGTGAATCACTTCCATTTGGATTCACTCATTGTTATATGCAGCGTCTATTCAACCTAACCTCACTCCCTTCGGTGCCGAGTTGACTTTTGAGTCGACTCAAAAGTCAACCCCTGACTGAGCTGCGTGGTTCTGTGAATCGCTTCCGTTTGGATTCACTCTTTGTTATATGCAGCGTCTATTCAATCAACCTAACCTCACTTCCTTCGGTGCCACTTTGCAGTGCAATTTTCCAGTCACTTTGCAAATCATACAGCAACATGTGAGTCACGCAACACCATCTGTGGGTAGGTATTAGGTAACCTCCGTAACTCACCTAAGTCACCTCCCTCTATACTCATTCCTAAGTCACCCAACCTCCCTCACTCCCGTCCCCCGCTCCCCTCGGCTTTTCTCCCCTCTCCCTCCCCTCCTCTCCCCTGCCACTTCAGCGACGTGGGTGGAAATTACCTCAGCGGCGCCGTGCCAAAGGTGCCTGGTAACCGCCAGATTGATTTCAGGTGAACTTTCAGAGGAGGCCGGAAAGAATGGCTGTGGGTGAGACTTGAGAGAGTGGCTTTAAGCGATTGACGACTACCTCAGTCGTGCCGTGCCAAAAAATGCCTCTTAACCGCCAGATTGACTTCAGGTGATTTCTCAGGGGATTCTCGGGACAGCGCCTCTAAGTGTGCTCTGGGAGGCAGGTGGCTGCAAGAGAGGGCTGAGAGGGAGGATGAGATGAAGTGCGTGCTGCTCAAACCAAAATCTCTGCAAGAAAGCTCTGGATGATTCTAGGGAAACAAGCCAACCTGCTAGCAAGAAAGCCCGCCTGATTCACGCCACCTTCAGCCCTGCTGAGAGCGTCTCTGAGCCGTGCTGATTCGTTTTACGCACGCTTCCCACTCCATCTATTGACGCAGTTGTTTCGTTATCTTTTGAGGCACCTCACCTGATACAGCCCTCCAACCCCTCTCTCCTCCGTGCCCTCCCATGTTTCCTCCCCCCATTTCTACTCTACAGATACTCCTCCAACTGCTTCCCGCCAAAGCCAAGCCCCAAGTGCAAGCGCACATAGCACTTCTCCCATATTGAGTTATGTGTCCAGGGACTGGTGTTCATGCATGGTAGGTGTCAGGTGATCAGGGCCTAGATGTCCACCGTCAGCCATTGTAAAGCCCCAAGTGTAAGCCCGTAGTCCTCCCCCTCCCTCATCCCGGTCTCCCTCTCCTCTCCCTTCTCTTGCTGCTGCGGTTTGACTGTAGGAGGTACTCATTCAGTGACCCCCTCTTGAAATGTGATCTACAGCACAAACTTCGAATGGAAAGAGATTTTATGCCGGCATATGGTTGTGCCGTACAAGTATAAAATTCCAAACTGCTGCACAGTTTGTTGCAATCCTGCTAGTCAAATCAGTGAAAATCATTATTTTAAAATTAGGATGGCTGACTGTCAAACTGTATGTTTGTGTTATCTCTAGGCTATAGTGGGTTAGCCTACAAGGGGTACAACACTTTAGGGTTAGGTACTTGTACTCATGCATGCTACCTAGTCCATCACTCCTGCCTGCTTATTCTAACATGGTATTAGAGCAGAATCGTTCCTAGGGCCCACCGAACGTTCCGCCCCTGCAGCCGCGCTGCCCTTGCAGCCCGCGTGCTGCCCCTGCGACCGCGCTGCCCCTGCAGCCGTGCTCGCCCCTGCGACCGCGCTGCCCCTGCAGCCGTGCTCGCCCCTGCGACCGTGCTGCCCCTGCAGCCGTGCTCGTCCCTGCGACCGTGCTGCCCCTGCAGGCGTACTCGCCCCTGCGAACGTGCTGCCCCTGCAGCCGTGCCTGCCCCTGCGACCGTGCTGCCCCTGCAGCAGTGCCTCCCCCTGCGACCGTGCTGCCCCTGCAGCCGTGCCTGCCCCTGTGGCCCGCGTGCTGCCCCTGCAGCCCGCTAGTTCGCCCCTGCAGCCCGTGGGCGCTGCCTCTGCAGCCCGCGCGCCGCCCTGCCGATCCGCGCGTCGCCTCTGCAGCCCGCGCGCCGCCCTGCCGATCCGCGCGTCGCCCCTGCAGCCCGTGGGCGCTGCCCCTGCAGCCCGTGGGCGCTGCCCCTGCAGCCCGTGGGCACTGCCCCTGCAGCCCGTACGCCGCCCTGCAGAGCCGCGCGTCGCCCCTGCAGCCCGTACGCCGCCCTGCAGAGCCGCGGGTCGCCCCTGCAGCCCGTGGGCGCTGCCCCTGCAGCCCGCGCGCCGCCCTGCCAAGCCGCGCCTTGCCCCTGCAGCCCGTGGGCACTGCCCCTGCAGCCCGTACGCCGCCCTGCAGAGCCGCGCGTCGCCCCTGCAGCCCGTACGCCGCCCTGCAGAGCCGCGCGTCGCCCCTGCAGCCCGTACGCCGCCCTGCAGAGCCGCGCGTCGCCCCTGCAGCCCGTACGCCGCCCTGCAGAGCCGCACGTCGCCCCTGCAGCCCGTGGGCGCTGCCCCTGCAGCCCGTGGGCGCTGCCCCTGCAGCCCGCGCGCCGCCCTGCCGAGCAGAGCGTCGCCCTTGCAGCCTGGGCGCCGCCCTGCCGAGCCGCGCGCCGCCCCTACAGCCCGCGCGCCGCCCTGCCGAGCTGCGCGTCGCCCCTGCAGCCCGTGGGCGTCGCCCCTGCAGCCCGCGTGCCGCCCTGCCGAGCCGCGCGTCGCCCCTGCAGCCCCGGCCGCGCGCAATCCTAAACCGTAAATAATAATAATAATAATAATAATAATAATAATAATAATAATAATAATAATAATAATAATAACTAAAAAAAAAAAAAAAAAAAAAAACTAGTGCTACTGCTGCTGCTGGTGGAGGTGCTGCTGGGAGTGCTGGAGGTGCGGCCGCCCAGCCCCACTGAGCCGCCCTGCCGATCCGCGCGTCGCCTCTGCAGCCCGCGCGCCGCACTGCCGATCCGCGCGTCGCCCCTGCAGCCCGTGGGCGCTGCCCCTGCAGTCCGTGGGCGCTGCCCCTGCAGCCCGTGGGCGCTGCCCCTGCAGCCCGTGGGCGCTGCCCCTGCAGCCCGTGGGCGCTGCCCCTGCAGCCCGTACGCCGCCCTGCAGAGCCGCGCGTCGCCCCTGCAGCCCGTACGCCGCCCTGCAGAGCCGCGGGTCGCCCCTGCAGCCCGTGGGCGCTGCCCCTGCAGCCCGCGCGCCGCCCTGCCAAGCCGCGCCTTGCCCCTGCAGCCCGTGGGCGCTGCCCCTGCAGCCCGTGGGCACTGCCCCTGCAGCCCGTACGCCGCCCTGCAGAGCCGCGCGTCGCCCCTGCAGCCCGTACGCCGCCCTGCAGAGCCGCGCGTCGCCCCTGCAGCCCGTACGCCGCCCTGCAGAGCCGCACGTCGCCCCTGCAGCCCGTGGGCGCTGCCCCTGCAGCCCGTGGGCGCTGCCCCTGCAGCCCGCGCGCCGCCCTGCCGAGCAGAGCGTCGCCCTTGCAGCCTGGGCGCCGCCCTGCCGAGCCGCGCGCCGCCCCTACAGCCCGCGCGCCGCCCTGCCGAGCTGCGCGTCGCCCCTGCAGCCCGTGGGCGTCGCCCCTGCAGCCCGCGCGCCGCCCTGCCGAGCCGCGCGTCGCCCCTGCAGCCCCGGCCGCGCGCAATCCTAAACCGTAAATAATAATAATATTAAAAAAAAAAAAAAAAAAAAAAAAAAAAAAAAAAAAAAACTAGTGCTACTGCTACTGCTGGTGGAGGTGCTGCTGGGAGTGCTGGAGGTGCGGCCGCCCAGCCCCACTGAGCCGCCCTGCTGCTGCTACTACTTCTGCTGCTGCTACTCATACTACTGCTGCTGCTGGTGGAGGTGCTGCTGGGAGTACTGGAGGTGCTGCTGGTGCTGGAGGAGCTGGAGGTGCTGGACCTACTCCTGACCGTCGCTGTCTGTCATGGCCACTATCGCGGCAGTTGCTGCGGCCAGGGGTGGACAGCAGCGGGCACTGCCTCTCCCGGACGACCCCACCCTTCAGCAGCTTCGTGAGTGGGTTGTTCAGCGAGGCAGGCCTGGTGGTGGAGGTTATCGTTGTGTTAAGGCTGCTGCTCTTGGTGCTAGTGAGTCTACTGCCACTCCAGGTGCTAGTGAGTCTGCTGCCGCTCCAGGTGCTAGTGAGTCTGCTGCTGCTCTAGGTGCCCGTGAGTCTGCCAACGCTCTAGGTGCTAGTACTGCCACAGGTCCTGCCTCCGCTGAGGTCTTGCACACTTTCACACTTGACTCAGGCGTGTCACGTTGCTTCTTTCGTGATTGCACCACAGTCACACCACTCACAGCACCTGTCCCAGTCTCACTGGCTGACCCCTCTGGGGGCCCAGTAGTTGCGAGAGCCTCCACGGTCCTCCCTTGTCCAGCAGTCCCCTCCGGTTCTCTGTCAGGTCTCCACCTCCCCACGTTCTCGACGAACATGGTGAGCAATGCTGCCATTCAGGATGTCTGGGTTGATACCTTTATTCCTGGAGGGCAGCGTGTGGCGATCTGTACGTGCTCCCGGACTGGCCGTCACCTGGCTACGTTCACTCGACAGCCTGGGTCTAGTCTGTACACACTGACCACTGCGTCTGCACAGGTGGCTGAGTCAGGTCAGGTGGCTGCGTCGAGTCGGGCGTCTGTGTCGGGACAGTTAGCTGCGTCTTGCTCGTGCAGAGTACTCACGCACGAGACTCAGCGCTGGCACCACCGTCTTGGTCACCCCTCCCTGCCGCGTCTACGCAGTATGCACTCCCGTCTCCTTGTCTCTGGCCTCCCCAGGACCCTGCCCCCCCTGCCGCGCTCGCTTGCCCCGCCGTGCCTTCCTTGCGTCGAGGGGCGGCAGCGCGCCGCTCCTCACTCCTCCGAGTTTCCTCCGACCACTGCTCCTCTGCAGACTCTCCACCTGGACGTGTGGGGCCCGGCCCCAGTCGGTGGAACGGACCAGGAGCGCTACTTCCTGCTGGTTGTTGACGACTACACAAGCTACACCACCGTCTTCCCCTTGCGGCGCAAGGCGGACATCAGTGGGGTTTTGATCCCCTGGATCCGTGCTACTCGTCTCCATCTGCACGAGCGTTTTCAGCAGGACTTCCCAGTCCTGCATCTGCATTCTGACAGGGGTGGTGAGTTCTCCTCTGGCGTCCTTGAGACGTTCTGTCAGGACGAGGGCATCGCCCAGTCGTTCACGCTTCCGGCCTCTCCGCAGCAAAATGGGATCGCTGAGCGTCGCATTGGCCTGATCATGGAAGTTGCTCGTACCTCCATGATCCATGCGGCTGCTCCCCATTTCCTGTGGCCGTTTGCGGTCCGATACGCCGCGCATCAGCTCAACCTCTGGCCCCGTGTCTCTGCTCCAGAGACCTCGCCCACACTCCGTTGGACGGGACAGCCTGGTGATGCGTCGTCGTTTCGGGTCTGGGGCGCGCTCTCCCTTGTTCGCGATACCAAAGCGAGCAAGCTCTCTCCTCGCACTCTCCGCTGTGTCTTCCTGGGCTTCCCCACCGACGCTCCGCCCTGGCAGTTCTACCACCCTGCCTCGCGTCGTGTTCTGTCCTCTCAGGACGTCACTTTTGACGAGTCGGTCTGTTACTACCGACTTCACCCGCACGCGTCCCACCCGGTCCCCCTCGCGCCTCTCTTCCTGGTACCAGTCCCCCCCCCGGTAGACCCCCTTCCCCCACAGGGTCCTGCTCCCTCAGGTGTGTCTCAGGTAGACCCACCCCCCTTGGATGAGCTAGTGGAGATCTCTTCTGACTCCTCTGACCCAGCTGAGGGGAGTGACACCGCCGCCGACGACACGGCGACCACTCGCCGCACTCCTCGCTTGGAGACCCCCCCGGGTTTCCCGCCTCGGCCGTCTTCGCCACCTCCGCAGCCTGCTGCTGTGGACTCTGGAGCTGAGGCTGCTGGAGCTGGGCCTGGGGGTGGTACGTCTGGGGGTGTCCGCTCTCCTCGTTTGGCTACCCCCCCCGGTTTCCCGCCTCTGCAGCCTTCTGCAGTGGACACTGGAGCTGAGACTGAGGGTGCAGGGACTGAGGGTACTGAGCCTGCGGGTGCTAGGACTGAGGGTACTGAGCCTGCGGGTGCTGGGACTGAGGGCACTGAGCCTGCGGGTGCTGGGACTGAGGGTACTGAGCCTGAGGGTACTGAGCCTGGGGGTACTGAGACTTTGGGTGCTGACTCAGGGGGTGCTGAGACTTCGGGTGCTGACTCTGGGAGTGCTGCGAGTCCTTCTGGAGGTCGTGGAGCTGGAGGTACTGGAGCTACTAGGCCTGGAGGTACTACTGGAGGTACTAGAGGTACTACTGGTGCTGGAGGTACTGGAGCTGCTGCTGGTGCTGGAGGTGCTAGAGCTGGAGGTACTAGAGGTGCTTCTGGTACTGGAGGTGCTCGAGCTACCACTACTGGAGGTACTGGAGCTGGACAGCCACCGCAGACTGCTCTACTTGAGACGCTCTCGCCGCAGGAGATTCGTGCGTGGGTCGTTCGGCGAGGCAGTCCTGGTGGTGGAGGGTACGGTCCTGCTGGTGCTGGAGCTACTAGTCCAGGAGGTACTGGAGGTGCTGCCGGTGCTGGAGGTACTGGAGCTGGAGATACTGGAGCTGCTGGTGCTGGAGGTACTACTGTTCCTGGAGGTGCTGGGGGTACTGGAGCTGCTGGCACTGGAGGTGCTGGTGCTACTGGTGCTGGAGCTGCGGGAGCTGCTGACCCTGGAGGTGCTGGTGCTGCTGGTGCTGGAGGCGTTGGAGCAGGTGGTGCTGCTGGTGCTGGAGGTGCTGGAGGTGCTACTGGTGCCGCTGGCACGGGAGGTACTGGAGGTACTACTGGTGCTGGAGGCGCTGGAGCTGGAGCTGGAGGCACTGGAGGTACTGGAGGTACTACTGGTGCTCGAGGTGCTGGCGCTGTCGGAGCTCGTGGTACTGGAGGTGCTGGTGCTACTGGTGCTGGAGGTGTTGCTGGGGGTACTGGAGGAGCTGCTCGTGCTGGAGGTACGGGAGCTACTGGTGCTCTTCGCCACCTTCTCAGTCTTCCGCCAGGTGCTACTGACTTCCCTGTGGCAGGTACTACTCCTCAGTTACTGTTTCCACCGGCGGACCAGTCGCAGCCGCCATTACTACCGCACTCCGCACTGCCTGCTCCTGCTCCTTACACTGCGGTGACACAGTCCCTGACTGAGCGTCGAGAGCCTGAGACTCGTGCTTCCACCCCTGAGCGTCGTGAGCCTGAGTCTAGCTTTGACCTTGAGCCCGAGCCTAGAGCTGCTGTACGTGCTCGTGTTCGTCGTCCACGTGCTCCGGCTGCTCTGCCTGCTTGTTGTGAACTACTGCTCTGCCTGCTTGTTGTGCTGATTATACCCCACTTTGACTATGGGGGTGTGTCAGAATGTGATGTTTGTCTAGCCTGCAGTGGGGTACTCTATAGCGAGTACAACCCAATTAGGGTTTCCTATATGTATCTCAACTGCTGCTAGTGAAAAACACTCTTCTTTCCTGTTTATCGTTTTAGCCTGCTGTTTCGACACTACGCTGGGCCATGGCTGCACAGGAGCTCCGCTGGCTGACCTACCTGCTGACCGACTTGGGGGAGCGGCCTCGTTCTCCTCCAGTTCTGTACGTCGACAACAAGGCAATGCTTGCCTTGTGTCGCGAGCAGAGACTGGAGCACCGAACGAAGCACATTGCTCTGCGCTACTTCCTTGCGCGTGAGCTGCAGCAGCGTGGTCAGCTGCGCCTTGCTTTCGTGGCCTCTCGGGCCAACACTGCTGATGTCTTCACCAAGGCCCTTGGGGCTGGTGATCATCAGCGTTTCTGCACTGCTCTTGGGCTTGTGCCCACTCTGCCTCGCCTGCTGGTTGCTTGACTTGCTCTTGTTGTACACTGATATATATCTTTATACCTGCTTGTTTACTCTTGCTAGGTTGTGATCAGTGTACTGCCTTGCTATTATAACTCTGCATGCGATCTGGCCTTGTGGCCGCTTGCTTGTGCTCAGATTGTGTGGTGTCCTTGAGATCCACCCTGAGCTTTGCTTTGCCTTGCTTGTTCTCTTGCTTGACTGGTCTTGTGACCGTCTGTTGTGTTTGCTATCTTCCACTTAGCCTATGGGGGTGTGTCAAACTGTATGTTTGTGTTATCTCTAGGCTATAGTGGGTTAGCCTACAAGGGGTACAACACTTTAGGGTCAGGTACTTGTACTCATGCATGCTACCTAGTCCATCTCTCCTGCCTGCTTATTCTAACATTGACATGCGTCAACAAAACGCCAGGCAGGATTTCGAATCAAAAGACAATGGCTAGTGGAGGCAACGAGCTAATCTTCATTCTCTTATGCTGAGGGGTCAAACCCCTTGTTGCCGCTCTTGGCTGCAGCACTCTTGGCTTCGCGGGCAGCAGTAGCCGTGGCGCGCTCCTCACAGTACTTGCGACTTCCCTGAACTTGGGCACGCTCCTGAGGTTAATCACAGTTGCTTTCAACTGCAGTTACTTGACAGATGCACACATAGAGTAGTACATAAACATAATACCATGCCTGGCAAGATTCCCTATTAGAAAACAATGGCCAGATAGCTGCTGTTGTTCTCTCTTAAGCTGAGGGGTCGAACCCCTTGTTGCTGCTCTTGGCAGCAGCACTCTTGGCTTCGCGGGCGGCAGCAGCGCTGGCGCGCTCCTCAACATACTTGGCGACTTCCCTGAACTTGGGCACACTCCTGAGGTCAATCACAGACTTGTCCTTTAGGATAATTGAGATGTCCCCCCACTCGCCTATGAAGCGCGGCACTGATCGCACCTCTGATACGAGCTGCATGCACGAGGGGGGAAGGGGTGAAGGGGGTGTGATCAGCTGACAAGGCCACACGCTCCTGAGGTCAATGACAGACTTGTCCTTGAGGATAATGGAGATGTCTCCCCACTCGCCTATGAATCGCGGCACTGATCGCACCTCTGATACCAACTGTCAGGCGAACATGAGGAAAGGGTGAAAGGGAGAAGTCATTAGTTAAGCCGAGAGGGTCAGACGCGCTCCTAAGGTCAATGACTGTCTTATCCTTGAGGATGATTGAGATGTCTCCCCACTCGCCTATGAAGCCCGCCGCTGACCGCACCTCTGATACGAGCTGCAAGGTGGAAAGGGGGGAATGGGGAGGGGGGGAAGGCAATCAGCTAAGTGGAATTGCTGGGGGCGGGGGATTCGTCCCGCTCTTGAGGTCAATGACGTTCTTCTCCTTGAGGATGATGGAGATGCCGCCCCACTCCTCGCCTATGAAGCGCGGCGCCGACCGCACCTCTGATACCAACTGCAGGGTGGGTAAGGGGTGCAGCGAAAGGTAATTAGCCAAGAGGAACTGCTCTTGTGGTCAGTGTGTGCATTAATTAGGGATGAGCAAATGATCGAAACAAACCGGTACAAGTGAAATTGGAAAGCAAATTTGCCGGCTCTAAGTTCTAACAGCGAATTTGCCAGTTCAAAGCTCATGCCCAGTAGTGAGGCTGTGCAATGAGCGTGTGCAGTCAAAGAGCAGCAGGGCGAATAGCAAGGTGAGGTTAATTAGCTCATAACCGAGTTGCTTCTTACCGAGTATGGGTACTCGAGTCTCTCCTTCTCATCGATCTCAGAGAGGACAGTGAAGCGGCGGTTGGTGAAGCGGTAGCGCAGCGTGAGGACGCGGAAGGCGGAGGCGAGGGTGAGCGGCAGCCACACTCCCGTGAACCCCAGCACTAGGTTCAGGGCCAGATCGCCCACGTGCGGGCCACTGTCGAAAAACACCTCCTGTGGTGTGGGGGGGGGGGGGGGGGGGGGGGTGGATACGGGGAGGGGGCGAGAGTGGGTGAGCGGCAGCCACACTCCCGTGAACCCCAGCACCAGATTCAACGCCAAATCGCCCACGTGCGGACCACTGTCGAAGAACACCTCCTGTGGTGCGGGGGGGGAAGCCAGGGAGAGGGAAGGGGAGACGGGAAGGGGGAGGCGAGGGTGAGCGGCAGCCACACGCCCGTGAACCCCAGCACCAGATTCAGCGCGACTCGCGAGGTCTCCCGCGCGTGGGCCACTGTAAAAAAACACCTCCTGGGGTGTCGGGGGAAAGCCGTTGAGACGAGAAGGGGAACGGGAAGGCGGAACGGGAAAGGGGGACGAAAGAGGGCGAGGGTGTGCGGCAGGGCAGCCACACGCCCGTGAGGCCCAGCACCAGGTTCGGCGCCAGAGTGCCTGCATGCGGACCGCTGTCAAGGAACACCTCCTGTGATGTTGGGGTGTAGGGGAAGAGAGGGTGCGGGGTGGAAACGCGGAGAGGGCGAGGGTGAGCGGCAGCCACACGCCCGTGAGGCCCAGCACCAGGTTCGGCGCCAGAGTGCCTGCATGCGGACCGCTGTCGAAAAACACCTCCTGTGATGTTGGGGGAAGAATCAGGGAGAGGAAATTGGGGTGGGGGAGGACGGAGGCGAGGGTGAGAGGAAGCAAAAAGCGGGTGAGCGCGTGCGGTGCGGCCGTTGTCAAAGGCCATTTGTTGTTTTAAGAGACGTCTCAAAAGTCCATTTGTTGTTGGTGCAGGAAGAGGGAGAGAGAGCGAGAACGGCTCGGCATTTGCCGTCAGTCATGGACTCATGGTGTTGTTACGCAACGCTGATACCTCCTCCGCTGACTGTGCTTGTCTTGTCTCCCTCTCCTCCTCACTTCCCTCTCTCCCTTCTCGCCTCTCTCGCCTCTCTCGCCGCGCTCTCCTCGCTGCCACGCATGCACCCTCCCTTCGCTCCCCTTGCTCCCTTTGATCGTGGAATCATTTCTCGCTCCGTTGCCTGAAAGCGAGAGTCAAGGGCCCTCTTTAGCGCCTCGCCCACGTCACCGTCTTTCTGATTCTCCTCTTTCATAAAACTGACAGATTTCAGTTTGAGGACTGTGTCAATTGCCTTCCGTGAAATGCGATGCGGTTGTATGCCATGCGACGGCGACGACCGTCGCGATGGCGAAAGACGGCAATGACGACGTCTGCGACTATGACGTAGGATGCGACAACGGGTGGAAGGGAATGCGCTACGTACCTCCGAGCTGGATGACGATGAAGATGACGCGGCCACGGAAACATTCCGCGTGGAAGCAGTTGCTGCTGACGTGGACGATTCTAGTCGAAGAGCAGACGAAGAGAGCTGCGACCTTCCCCCCGTGAATGTGGCTGACGTCACCGACTTGCGACCAGGGAGCGGCGCGAAAGGCGCTGACGAGGCGCCATCTTCTCTCCGAGATGCAGAAGCGAGAGTCGCGGAGGCTGCGACGGCGGGGTGTTGAACAAGAAGAGAAGACATTTTTCCACAACGCGAGGCGACCTGATAGCAGCTCTGAGGAAAATGGGAGACAGTAGTGACAGAAGGCCTCCGACACGCTAATTGAAGCCTAGTCTTGTGCACGTCCCAGCAGGAACTTCTGGAATACTGGTAACTTGGAAAGAATTAGGAGCCTCTGCAGAATATGACGGAATTCCCGAGGAAATGTCAGACTAGCTGCTGTACCACTCCCAAGCGGAACCTTTGGCTGGTTCGGCGTGGCGCGAGGTTCGTTTGAAAGGTATTGATGACGTGGCAGATGCCGTATGGGAGGGTCCACGTAGTTGTGCTCGAGTGTTGACTGGTGAAGCGAAGCTAATGGAGATCCGCCACGGTGGATGCAACGCGTGGAGCTTCGACAACCAAACCTGACATGACCCTGGTTTGTACGCGTCCTGCCCTCGAAGCCCCAATGGTCCGACGAGGCAACTGGAGAAATTTCCCAAGAGCTGACGTGGCAGGGTGAGCAAAGGGGATTTTGCAAGGAGCAAAAAGCAGGCATTGAACCTGACGTGAATCGAACACGCAACCTTCTGATCTGGAGTCAGACGCGCTACCATTGCGCCACAGATCCGTGACGGAACACGAAAATGTTTTATTTCGTCCAATATCACTCATTGCTATGACGTCAAATCCGTGTCATTGCCGAATTCGGTGGTTGGACTGTAGACGCAACCCTGCAGACGCAAGCCTGCCTGCCAGCTCCGCGTTCCCTCTCAACTCATCCCCATTCTTCTCGCAGAAGCCATGATATATGCTCGATGCTACGTATCCCTTCTTGATTTAGTCTTTACATTCTCAAATAATCCCTAACGAACAGACTCGCCTAGCAGGTCCAGTTTCTTCCCCCACCTGAATCACTGCATAGTGTATCAACTTATCTTCGCACAAACGTTCGCAGGAGGCAGCTCGCCGACTGCGCCAGCGATATATGTCTCAGAACACGGATTGGCTGCATTCGAGCAGCTTCAGGATGCACACGGCGGCGCTCTCCCGAGTCGTTCCCTTGACAATCCCCGAAGACAGCCAGCTTCCTTCAGACGATGACTCATCGGATGTCCGAAGGCAGCCTGGTTCGGAATCCAGTGAAGACCGAGCCCCGAGTCAACGTCAAGGCAGACTGAATGATTCAGACCATGGGTCTTTGTCAAATGTGTTCGGTCGTGTTCCACTCACTAGGTGCCTGGCCATGCGTCGAGGCGCGTATGATAACTGGGTCGTTCGTACGATAGTTACGCCAGATGGCGTGAAGGAGGTGTTTGGCCCGCCATAGCCGACAGCCTTCCACTACGATTTTTTGGGTAGTCCCTCCTTTAGGCTGCTCTTTCATTTAGCCATCGCGAGGTTCATTACGCTTTAGAAGTTAGTTTGATGTTTAGATGGGCTCTAGTGAATTACTCCATGCGTTTGTATGACCGCCACGTTGTAATGCGATTTCTTGATCCCTCCACAACTCCTCCCCGTGCCCTGGCTGGCCACATACCCCAAAATGGATTTGGATTACGTTTTCACCCGTTCTCCCTCCAATCAACCCCTTCACCCTTTCCTTTCCTCCATACGTCCACCCCTTTCCCTCCCTCAAACCTTCCCTTCCCTCCCTCCCCCCTCCCTTCTCTAACCACCCCCCCCCCCCCCCCCCCCTCTCCCCTCCCCCCCAACCCCCCCCCACTTCCCTCCCCTCACCAAACCTCCACCCCCCCCCTCTTCCCTCTCTCCCTTCCCCCTCCCCACTCCCCCCTCCACCTTCCACCCCCCTCCTCTTACCCGTTCGTCCTCTTCTTCTGTGTCTGAATGTTTCCGTCCCCACTTTTGTACCTCCCCCTCCCCCCCCTCCCCCTCGCTCTCACCCTATTTCCCTCAGCTCCTGCTATTGATTTAGTGATACGCTGTACATTAGAATTGTTTGTGTATTTGCACCACATGGAAAACGTGGGTTTGTTGGTTGCGTACGTACACATTTTTAAAATATTTTTGCTGAAGTGCTCGTTGCATAAAAACTCTTCATTGAGGTCACTTTTTAGTGACCTGCTCGATTTCTGTTAATCATTACATAGCCAAAGTGAAACGGGGTTGACGAGCCAGGCCAGATTCATGCCACCGTGGCCTCTACCCGACCCTCATTTCATTGACGAGCCTGTCACCGCACTTCCAACGAAAAAGTTGTTGCTGATGCGCGCATCGTCGGATCCCGCGTCAGCAGTGCCTTATCCAGCCAGCCTTTTGGGCTGATCTGCTTCCAAACGAAGATTCACGAACGATCGCGAGATTTCGCACTCCCTCCTTGACACCTGAATCTGAAGCCAAACCTCATCGAATTCCCCTGCCCAGGAATTCAGCCACAACGTTGACATCGTTTAGGTACAAGAGCCCTGACACATTCTGTGATACTCAGCCCCCATTGCTTCTAGATTCTGGAAGGTGGCAAGTGATTCTGGAAGGTGGCAATCAAACGCTTACAGTTGAAACATCGTGTCATCAATCTGAATGCGGACTCAGAGATGCCAACACCTCTCATAGAGACTCGGCTCGGGCTCGCGTTTCACGAAACCAGCTTCGGATTAGCCGAATCGAGACTTCTGGGCTCTGTCGCTCAACCTTGCGGGCCAACATCACAGGCATGCAAAATAGTATGGTAACCCTATTCGATTTGTATGCAAACCCGTCGATACCTCGGTTTTGGAGGTATTGACATATTGCCCTAGAATCGCGGTTCTATTGAATTCAAAAACGGAATTTTACCACGCTTTTCTTTCCTCTAAAATTCGATTTATTCGGGCGACTGTTCTACCATATGAGCAACACTGTTCGCTACACCTGCAGAAAAAATAAAACCCAATCGGAAAGGGATGCAACTCGGGAGGCATCAACCCTAAAAACAATGCCCTTTCCCGTGTTTAGGGTTGATCCCTCCCTGAAATGAGTCCAGGTTCCTAGTGGTTTTATTTTTTTCTTGCCTGCCCTGACAGTACCCGGTAGCAATATATATATTACTTTCATTCCAACGAAGTTTTCGGTCGAAATTATCGTGCACATTCGACGGAAAATAATTGCCCGCAGGAATCGTTGTCAGGCGCAAAACAAGGCGCGGTAAGAATAGAATGAAACGAAATCGAAAGCGTAATCGATTGTTGCACGTATTGCTTCCTTTTTGTGCTGCGTCAGCTGTTACACAGTGTTTTGAGTGGCGGTACCAGACAGATTTGCGCAGTGGAACTGGGGTATCGACGGTTTTGCATACAATCGAATAGGGTTACCAGCCTGTTTTGCATGCCTGTGATGTTGGCCCCAACCTTGCCTCACCCTCGACCCGTGTGACGTGTCTGCTGCTGCACCGTGTCCAGCTCCCCCAACCCAGCCCCCTTGTGTGTGTATATAATCAGTTGCGCGAGAAATAATCAGTTTGACTCCACTTCCCTTTCTCGTGGTTGTCAGCTCCCGTCGTTGCTGTGCTTGTCTGAGCTCCGCTGTGTCCGAGATCCTAGCGTTTTCTTCTCGGTGCCACTGCTATAGTGCTTCGGGATCGAGTTCTGTACTGATCTGTGTTCTCGCCTGTTACGCTGCGAAAGCGCTCTGCACAGGACTGGATAGGATGGCAGCTTTGAAAGCACTTGCCCGTTTCACAACTCGTTTCGCCGCACCGTCGATCGCGGCGAGTCGCGTGCGACAAAATGCGACTGTTTCCAGTATCTCGAGCGTGGCTTTAAGAGTCGAGCGACCGCTTCATGCCTCGCGAACGGTGCAGCGCGTCGCGCGACGAAGCTTCCCCGCGCGAACCTTTTGCAGGTTCGTCTTCCAAAGCTTAGCAAGCGAGTGTGCTGAGAGAAAATAAGTGATAGGAAACAAAAGCAGGACCACATGCTCTGATAAGGATTCCTGGGCAGAAAGAAAATACTGTTGCACGAAAAGGCGATAGAAACACACATGCCGGCAACACAGACACGCGGGTAAGTGTTAAACCCTTTTGACTCTTAAGAAGTAACCTACTATAGAACGAGTTGCTATGTCTCGCTTGACGCACCATTCTTCCTTTTGGTTTCTCCATCTTCCCTTCCCCTCCTTCCCCCGTCCGTGTCCCCTCCTTCCGCAAGTGGCGGCAGCGTGGCGAACGAGCAGGCGGAGGCGGAGAAGGCGGCGGAGGACATGCTGTCGGACCTCGAGCCCGACAACCGCGCGCCCGTCACCATTATCACCGGCTTCCTCGGCTCCGGCAAGGTGCGACACGAATGGCACACCCACCCACTACCACTCCGCCCCACCCCATTCCACCCCACTCCACCCCACCCAACCGAACCGCACCCTATGGAATTTTCACCATTATCACCAGCTTTTCCGGCTCCGGCAAGGTGCGACACCAGTGGTCACATTTGAACGCGTGAGATCCCTGTCAGGACTTTACTGCTTACGTCTTACTCGTTTCTTTGGCCGCTTCCGCCTCCCGCTTTGACTGCAGGCGTGATCTAGTTAACCGTAGCAACCCTTCTTTGATTTCTTTCATCTATCTATTTATTTACTTACTTAGTTACATATTCTGTGTTCATGTCCCTTGGGTTTGCTCACAGACGACGCTTCTGAATTACATCCTCAAGGCGGACCACGGCAAGCGGATCGCCGTCATTGAGAACGAGGTGAGCGAAATTCGAACGTCTCTTAAATCAAAACCCCTGGCACGCGAGATTCAAAAGTTACTGAGAACGAGGTAGGCGAGATTAGCACAAATTTCAAAACCAAGTACTCGATATTTACAAGGAACTGAGTACCAAGTACTCGATATTTACAAGGAACTGAGTACCAAGTACTCGATATTTACAAGGAACTGAGTACCAGGTACGCGAGCGAGTCTTTGTGTCAGTGAGGGAGATTCGGGTCTCTCATTGGGAGAGAGTTGGGCTTTGCTTTCCGGTCCTATTCTGCAGTTGTCCTTCGTCAATCCTTGTGATCTTCCGAAAGCCTTGTTTCAAATTCCAAGTATAATATTCTTCTTG